CAGTTTTCTTTCATGTGGATTATAAATTCGTGCTTATGATGGACAACCCCAAACATGTAGGTGTCTTAAACTAGGTTTCCTTCCAGTCCATAACTTGAAAGGAGTTTTAGGAACTGCTTGCTAGGAACCCTGTATAACGGATACATAGTAGTTCTAAGTACATACGTCCACAAACTTTTGGGTAATGAGGAATTACTTATCATACTCCTAACCATATCCATTAATGTTGTATATCGCCTTTACGCCACACCATTCCGTTGCGGTGTGCCGGGCATAGTATACTGTGCACATATGCCATGACATTCGAGGAACTTAGCAAATAGACTAGGACAACTGTCCGGATTCATCATATTTTCCATAATACTCACCACCTCTATCGGATCTTATAATCTTCACTTTTCTATCTAATTACCTCTCAACCTCTTTTACAAACACCTTAAGGGCATTTATAGCTTGAGATTTTTCATTCAGCAAATAGATATATCCATACCATGAAAAGTCATCTATAAAGGTGATGAAGTATTTTTCCGCATTAAAGGATGGAGTGTCTAAAGGTCTACAAATATCGGTGTGTATTATTTTCGAAGTCGATCGCTTATTGTGGCTCCTTTCTTGCTATGTTTGGTTTGCTTGCCTTAATGCATTCCACACATAAGCCAAGATCAATAAAATCTAGATTTTGTAGAATCTCATTCTTTACCAATCTTTCTAACCTTTCTTTGGATATATGACCCAAACGTTTATGCCACAAGTAAGCGGAATGTTCATTCGCCAAACTCTATTTCATTCTAACATTATGATTAACAATAAATAGGGATTCAGAAAAACCAACATCAAGTTTCAATTTATATAAACCATCCATAAGCATTGCATAACTAATAAAGCAATTATTCTTATACAAATTGAAACGACCATGTCCAACCTCAAAAGTATAACCACTAGCATCAAGTCTAGAAACAGAAACTAAATTTCTAGAAATTGAAGGTACATAGAGAGTGTTCATTAGATCCAAGTGATGGCCAGTATCTAATGTTAGCTCTGTAAGTCCCCACACCTTCAATTAGGGCCTTCATTCGGTTCCCCATAAACGGAAAGTTATTAGTTGGGCTTATGGTTTGGATTCTAAGAAATCCATGTATAATATTGAAAACATGAGTAGTGGCACCGGAATCAAACCACCAAGTATTAGAAGGAACTTCGGATAAGTTTGATTCAAAGCATACGAAACATAATGCATACCTTTCTTTTCGAACCAAGCCTTACGTTTTGGGCGATCCTTCGATAATGTCTTTCTTTCTTACGAAATGACGTTTATCTAACTTTTGTCCCTTTCTTCCATCATCGGCAACTCCGTAAAACTTTAGCGGGTTCTTTCCTTTTGAAATTCTTGGACTTTGGTTTGAATCTCTTTCCAGCTCTTTGACCTACTAGGTTAATAGAATGAACTCCTTGTTTTTTAATCTCGCTTCCTCCTAAATAAGCTTACTAGACAGTTCATCAATATTTCAGTTATCCTTTAATGTGTTATAATTGATGTGGAATGGTCCATATTCGGTAGGAAGTGAGTTCATGATAAATCGCACTAAGAAGGAGTCTCCCACGATCATGCTTAGTGTCTTAAGTCTTGCTGCAATGTTAGTCATATCAAGGATATGTTGCTCGCATACTCTTTGACCCATCAAACTTCATGGTCGTGAGTTCGATCATAAGTGTCCCTGTAAGTGCCTTATCGGCAGAACGAAACTTTTCTTCCACAAGTTTAAGAAAATCTTTAGCATTCTGATTTTTAGTGCTAGGAAGAGTAGACTTAATGTTGTTGGCAATCGACATTCGCATAAAATTCAAACATAATCTGTTAGACCTTACCCACGCCTTATGGTGTGCTTTTTCAGCCTCTATATTAGTAGCATTAAGGTCAGCGGGCTTATCCTCTAACGAGCGCCAAGTCAAGATCCAAAGCACCTAAATGAAAAGGGACTTGTCCGCTTCATTCGGAGAAATCCACACCGATAAACAAGGTAACGAGAAGATGTATGAGAATAAAGGCTAATAGGCTGCAAACATATAAACACTCATTAATTAATAGATTCGGACATGAAAGCACATACATTAAATATATTGCAGCTTTTCTTTGGGTAAACACAATAATACATATCATCACTATCATTAAAATGCCATTTAGACTTTATAAGACATTAAATAAATATTTTTTAAATACACATAACATCTTTGGATAACTATATATATGTAACATGAGTATATCAATTTCTTCCTTTATATTTATTAGTTATAGAACATTGATTTACCTTTGGGTAAATTCCTTAATTTCTATCAACTAATAAATTTCTAATTTTTTATTAGCATTTTATAAAATACATAAATTATATGACCACACATTCAAAATTAATTTGGCCACTTTGGTGACTAACAAATAAATTTAATCATACTATCATATATATATATATAAAGGAAAAATGCATACATAATTCAATCATACATACATACATACATACATACATACATACATACATACATACATACATACATACATATATATATATATATATATATATATATATATATATATATATATATATATATATAATTTTTTTCGGCGGCTCGCATGGCTCGCTACTACGAGCCTTGCGCAAGGCCGATCGCGCATTGGCCGCACGCTTAGAGGCCCCGCACGGCGAGTTGCGCGTTCGCGCATTGTGCAACCGATCTAGACGCTACCCTAATTCCTAAATATCATTGATAGTGATTCCACTTATCAATGATTTGCTTCTTGCCAGTTGTTGACGACGACAGTAGCCTTTTTTTTTAATCAATAATCTAAGGATTATTATCTATTCAAAACCTATGCTCGATACCACATGTAATAACTTTCTATTTAAAGATCAAAACATAAATCATACCATGCAATGATCAAGACATAAATCATTTATGCCTATTCGGGATATTGAATAAAATAATAATCACATAGATGAAGCGAATAAATTACTTACCTTGAGCGAAATTCAACATGATGTAGAGAGAGCTTTCGACAATCACCAACCTTATAAATTAGTTTCTCTCCCTTAACCTTCTTTTATGTAGTAGGTGGCTTGATGGATAGCCAAAATGCGTACGTTACGTATTTTTTATGTTTTTTCTCGCATACTTTTTAGGGTAGAGAGAGGACTAGTTTATATACTCGTTAACATTAAATCTTATACGTCCATCAAGTACTAAATTAAAGATCCAGATTTAACATACTATTAAATTAAGAAAACCCTAAACCAATTTAATGTGGGCTTACAAAAATATGAGCCATAACATCGGACCATATTTCTTATAGTAATTACTCGAAGAGAGAGGACTCGAAGTAAGTTGACATAATCAGCACTAGAACACCATTCCGGAAGATAGGAAGCATCACCTATCTTTTTAAGATGCTTCGGCTCCCATGGCTGCAGAGCTTCTTCGGAAGGGTCGAGTACCTCGTGACAACATTTTGTTATAAAAATTATGGCTCTTGGGGCTGTAACTCTACCCAACTCACCAACAACTGCCAGTTTGAGGAAGTAGGGAGGCGGACTTGAGATAACCTAGTAGGTGTAAGAAAGAAGCAAAACCTTTCTTTTGTCGGGCATATGCTCTCCACTCTTCATTGACCAAACCGGATCAAGCTGCCCATCTAAAAATGGTCGCTCTAATGCATCCGCAACTTGAAAGGAAGCTCGCTAAATGTTGACATTGTTATGATGAATGATGATGCAAGAATGGGTAATAATGCTACGGATGCGGATCCAATTGTTTCAATTTGGTTCCATCAATATAAAAAAAAATAATAAACGAAACGAAAGATAACAAGATTATACTTTAGATATCGACTATGTTTGTCTTTGGCCAAAGAAAGAGATGCTAAAGTTATTTTACTACGGAGCTAATGCTTAGATTAATGTAAAATATTTCAAAGTTGGAACACACACCTTGTCGACTGATCCTTCGACTGCTGCAAGAGCATTGCCCTCCGAGCTTGGAAGGGACTAAGTGTGATGCCTTGGCATTTGGCTCCATACTTCCTTGCTATGGACCTGGAGCTTCCTCCCATCCTACACCTAACATCAACCAAATTCTTTGGCCTTTTTCCGAGTCCTCTAGAGACCAATTCACATATAAAATTAATGGACCAAGACTTTATTTTTACATAAACAAAAAACAAAAACAATATATATATATATATATATATATATATATATATATATATATATATATATATTTGTAGTTTTTAGATAAAAAAGATACTTACCCTAAATAATTATCATAATGGATCCCACTTTTAAAGAAACACTAAAGCATGAACTGCAAGAATACATGCTAATTCTCCCTTTGTTAAACAATTTACAAATGAGTCTTGCACATATCGAGATCCCATACAATTCAATTTTTTTTTTATTGAGATCTTAAATTTTTTTCTATCGAATTTAAGTGTTATACTTTTAATTTTTTTTTGTTTTAGACCTTCATGTATCACATAAAAACACATGGCAAGATTTATCCAATGACAGATTGACATATGGCAAAGTAGGCCCAAATTGATTTTTAACGAAAATTAAAAAAATTATAATGGATTTTTAATTATTTAAGTAATAATAAACCTAAAAATAGGTTATAAAAACACCAATCTACCCTTACCCACTAAAGTAAAAAATTCTCAAAATTCCCCCTCCTCTCCCTATTTGTTTCAAATTTTTTTCCCGCTTATTTCTTCTTTCTTTCCTACCTTCAATTGTAATTAACCCTAATTTCTCCTTCTCCTTTCCCAAAAAACTTGTTCCGAGTAGCGATAATAGTCATGTCTATACTTCTTATCCTAAACATAACCAATAGCAAAAACCCCATGAACACTAGTCTTCGTAATCCCGTTTTAGTCATAATATACGCATCGAATCCAACTCCAATCGCCCATCCAAAAACATTGTAGCGAGCTCATGTCCAATAGCAAAAACGACTTACTAGCCTTCAAATTCGAAACCTCTCCGAGTAATAACATTCTTCACTTTAAGCCCTCCTAAAACCCTCTCTCCATAAGCCTCCTCCAATACAAAATTCCAAATAACCTCAATCTTTGGATTCGACAATGCCTTACTTTGCATTATCTTAAATGCCCTAAATGTATCCCACCTATAAATAATATAAACTTTCAATCCATACTTAGTAAAAAAATTAGCTTCCTCCATTGTTGAATCCCCTCCTCCAATCATAGCCAATGGCTTCTCCCTAAGAATAGGAGTAGCCTCATCACATACCGCACAAATCAAAATCTCTCTATTCCAAAAATTTTTCGACCCTTCAAAATTCAGCTTCTTTGCCACCGCCCTAGTAACAATAATAACCAAATTAGCAACAACATAGTTTAGAATAAGTGAAAATCTCAAATGAGGTTCTCAAAAAATTCACTTTCGAAACCATTTTAGTAAAGATTTAGGTCCCAAAATGAGCAAATTGAGCTTCAAACTTATTAATCAACTCACCACCCATTATTCCTTCGGGGAAACCAAGGAAGTTTTCCACATTAGTTGTGGTCATAAGCTGGCCTCCAAAGGCGATATCATTTGCCATCCACCCTTCAAACAAGACGGTCTTTAGCTCGCTCGAGCGACATAGATTGCTGTAGTGTGTCATGGGTTTGCTTTTGATTATACGGACACGGGTCTTAAGTTCTTCCATGGCTATTGATGATGCTTGTGGTTAGTTTTGGAGTGGTGGTGGTGGAGAAGGATGCGGCGAAGATTGATGTGGTGGCTAAGCCAAGGAAGCTGTAGGCTTTAAAGAGGAGAGAATTTAGTCTTTTTGCAAAATTAGGAAAGGAGAAGGAGAAATTGGGTTGATTGCAATTGAAGGTAGAGGAAAGAGAGAAGCAATGAGTAGAAAAAACTAAAACGAATGGGGAGAGAGGGGGAATTTGGGGAATTTTTGGGTTTAGTGGGTAAAGGTATATTAGCATTTTCACAACCTATTTTTAGGTTTATTATTACTTAAATAATTAAAAATCCATCAATTTTTTTTTAATTTTTGTTAAAAATCATTTTGGGCTCGTTTTTCTACGTATCAATTTGTCATTAGGTAGATCTTGTCACGTGTACCTACGTAGCACATTAGGGTCCGAAATAATAAAATATTAAGAGTATAACACTTAAATTGGATAGAAAAAAAATCTAAGGTCTCAATCAAAAAAATTTAAATTGTACGAAATCTCAATATACACAAAACTCATTTACAAATAAAACATTGGAGGGTTCGGTTTGTCGAGTGTAGGCAAGTAGGTTAGCAATAAAAGCATAATGACAAAGAAAGGCTAATTGTAGAATCTTTAGTGTTCGATGGGCAATTAAAATTACAAATTCCCAAAATCACTCATCAACACATACAACATTTATTAGCATAATAATAATAAAAAATATCCATAATGTTATAAAATAAATAAAAATGATAGGAGAATTGAAGAAAAGGATGACAAGAAAATGAAATCACTATAATGTGAATATAAGTGATAAGAATTTCGAAGTTTCTTTTATTCTCTCTAGGAAACTTATACACCAACTAATGAACAATCAAGCCTATTTATAGGCTTCAAAATTGAGGAGAGAATTGAAAGGGAATATGAATAATCAATTGCATCACCCTTTCAATTTCTCATATTGAATGATGAATTAAATCATATTAAGAATCATGAGTAGTGGGGATATGAAAAGTGGATGAACATGATGAAGGACATTCATTATTTCATAACGAGTCCCCTTGAATATCTATTTTAAGAACATGCCTCATTAAAACCTTACTAGGAAAAAACCTAGTGGGAAAAAAATCCTAGTGAAGGAAAAATAGTACAATATTCCTCGTACAAATTAATCCCCATTTTTGTCTCCCCTGTTGAAGACATTTTAAGATCTCTAAGATGATGCATTCCAATCTTGTGAATCATCTTCTCAAAAGTTGTGATAGGTAATGATTTAGTGAATAAATCTGCTAGATTATCACTTTGATATATTTTTCCTTCAATGGAAATATGCAAGCAACATTATCCTCATATGATATTGTTGAAACTTCTTTTGTTGGTAGATAAATTGCATGTCTCGCGGATATGATGGATTGTTGATCTTAACTAAACACATTCTCGATTTGCCTTGTGAATTGATTTTTCTGCATGATTTGAAGATGTGGTAACTATAATTTGCTTTATAGAACACAAACATATAGCTGGATGTCCATATGTAAATATATAACCGGTTGTAATCGAGCTTTGTGTATATTAGATAAATAACCTACATCCGCATAACCAATTAATCTTATCTTTGATTTATTGGAGTAATATAAGCCAATATCAATTATTCCTTGAAGATAACGTAGTATATATTTAACTTTATTTCAATATCTCTATATTGAAACAGAACTATAACTTGCTAACAAATTTATAGAAAAGACTATATCAAGTCAAGTATTATTAGCAAGATACATTAATGCACCGATGGCACTAAAATATGGTACTTTAGGACCAAGTAGTTCTTCGTTATCTTCTCGAGGTCGAAAAGGGTCTTTTTGGATATCAAGTGAATGAAATATCATTGGGCTAGTCAATGAATGATCTTTATATAGAATCATTGTTGAACTTTTTTTTATATAAATTGATTGATGAATAAAAATCTCTTTCTCCGAGTGCTCGAACTACAAGTCGAGATAAGATTTTGTTTTTCCAAGGTATTCACATCAAATTCTCCTTTTAGATAACTTATGACACTTGAAATCTCTTCGGGAGTTTCAATAATATTTAAATTATCAACATATAAAACAAATCCCTTTTCAAATAAAAACATATGTACAAATATGGTTATTTTTTATAACTTTCTTTCAACAAATAATCATTGAAGTGATTATATCACATGCACACGGGTTAGTAATAAACGGTAGATATAAAAATAAAATATAAAAAGTATAAATTGAATTTCTAAAAACCAAAATAATAAAACAAATACTAAAATAATCCTAATGGAGATCTCTATAATTTAATTGAATTCTTTTCTCAAGAATATATATTACATGCTTCGGCATGTTAAGTCCTTCTAGGACTTTCATACGATATCATTTCAATTAAATAAATAAAATGTGATCACATTCATTAAATGCATGCATATGAATGTTTTTCATATATTTTTCCATGCCAATGAGATAACAACGAGACAATTGCATCCAATATAGGAGAATATGTTTCCTCATAGTCAATGTTAATTCTTTACGAAAACTTTTACGTTAAAAGTTTTGCTTTGTATCTTATAATCTCATCTTTCTTATTTCATTTTCGCATAAATATATATTTGTATTCCACTAGCTTAACATCTTTAGGTGTTTTAGCTATGGGTTCAAAAAACTACTCTTTTGTAGGAGAACATAATTCTATCCGGATTGCTTTTTTCATTTAGGCCAATCATCTTTATGTCAACATTTTTCAATAATTTAGGCTCGGGATTCTTATTTTCATCCATAATATCAATTGCAATATTATATGTAAAAATCTTATCAATAGATGTTTCTTTTCAATCCTATTTTCTCCTTGCATTAATGTAATTTATCAAAATCTCTTGATTTTTCTCAAGTATTTGGACTTCTTCGGAAGCCTATTATCAAAAATATATTGGACCATTTTATGAATATTTTCATCTTGCCCTTTTCTTTTAGGGATTTTTATCTTTAGAATTGATCGATCTTTCACACTTCGGGTGTGCTTTAAATTCGTTAACCGTAATATTAATAGATTATCCTTACGGGACATTAATTCTAATAGGAGCATTCTTAGCGGGGACATGCATTTTAGTTACTCATTTAAGATGCGAGAATGCATCTGGCGGTTGGTTTCAATACCTTGTAAATGAATTATCTTTTGAACTTCTAGTTCACATTATCTTCTACAAGAATCAAGGTGATATAAGATAGAGTACTCCATGTAATCTCTTTTTTTTTCAACATTTCCAATTGCTTATTTTGTTTATTCTCTCCCCTAATGTTGAAAAAACTATTTCATCAAAATGACGATCGATAAATCGAGCTATAAAAATTTTCTCTTGTTCATGAATCAAGAGATTGAATTATCGAAGAGGATTCATATATTCTCAATCTCTTTTAAGTGCCCATTTTATTTCATTATGGAGGAGCACTAAGGATATACATTGCAATGCTAAAAATTCTTAAATAAGAAATAATTGGCTCATGACCATAAATCAATTAAAGAGGAGAGAATTTCGATAACTTATGGGTCATATGCAAATAAGTGTTGCTTGCATGTAAGATTCATGTCCTCAAACACAAATAGAGAGTTTTATTTTTAAATAATTGTTTAGCTATCAATTGGAGCCTTTTGATAAATGATTTTGCTAAACCTTTTTTGAGTATGAACATGAGCAACAGGATGTTCAACCTTTATTTTAATAGCCAATCAATAATAATTTAATGCTTGAGAAGTAAATTCATCGGCATTATCAAGGTGACTTGTTTTAATGGCATAATTTGAAAATTATGCTTGAAATCAAATTATTTGCTAGCAATCTCGAAAACATCGGGTTTCAAGTAGATAATAAGTATATATGTGACCATCTTATGGATGCATTTATCAAAATCATAAAATATTTAAATGGTCCATATGGTGGATGAATTGATCCGCATATATCACTTTGAATACATTCTAAAATATTGGAGATTCAATTTCAATTTTACTTGATGATGACTTAATCATCAATTTGCCTTGGCAACATGCAGCATATGAAAGTTCATTAAATTGAAGAATCTTCGGCTCTTCAATAGATGTCTATATGAATTTTTAATAATTTTTCGCATCATGAAAGACCCAAGATAGCACAAGCTGGTCATGTCACATAATAAAAGTATTTGAATTAGTAAACTTCGGTTTACTACAATATTTGTTTCAATCATTTCAATGTTTGTAATAAAGACTAGAAAAGAAAACAAATAAATTTTTTGATAGATATTTTCTACCCGATATAATGATTATAACATATAAGTATTTACATTTGCTATCTTGATATGATATCAATTCGGATGAATATCTTTGAAACACAATAAATTTCTATGAGACTTTGAAGAGAATGGTACATCATTCATAATAAATTTATCCTTTCGGATAATAACATATTTGCTCTTCTTGAGCCTTTTAAATTAGTCACTTTAAGTAATAATATATCGACTCTTCTATAGCCTTTAAAAATTTTCTCTTCAAGTAATAATTTATTCACTTTTTTAGAGCTTCAAAAATTTATCTCTTTAAGTCATGATATAATCGCTCTTCTAGAGCCTTTAAGATCTATCTCTTTAGATAATAATATAGTCGCTCTTCTAGAGCTTTCTATTAGATTGATATTATCATATATAATATTAATATAAAATAAAATAAAATAAAATAAAATAAAATAAAATAAATAAATCAATATATGCCTCATAAACATAAACAAACAAATAAATAGTAAAATAAATTTGTAACCATCAATATACAACATAAATTATAAGAAATATAAAACATTTTATTTATAAATATAAAAACTAACAAGTAATTAATTTCAATTATTGTTACTTTGATATATAAAATTCATGCCGATAACGTGTTATAAAATAAATAGAAATGATAGGAGAATTGAAGAAAAGGATGACAAGAAAATGAAATCACTATAATGTGAATATAAGTGATAAGAACTTTAAAGTTTCTCTTATTCTCTTTAGGAAACTTGTACACCAACTAATGAACAATCAAGCCTATTTATAGGCTTCAAAATTGAGGAGAGAATTGAAAGGGACTATGAATAATCAATTGCATCACCCTTTCAATTTCTCATATTGAATGATGAATTGAATCATATTAAGAATCATGAGTAATAGGGATAGAAAAAGTGAATGAACATTCATTATTTCGTAACACATAATTTTTTTTTTGTTGATTTAGATCTCCAATCTCTCTATTTTTTTTAATCCATAATTAAGTTCTTTTATTTTGTTAATCAATCTCAAGTGACATAAAAAATATGTTGAGTTATTAAAATAGCAGCACATATCTTGAAATCTTTAAACACGTGACAAATGTCAATTATTTTATAGTTTCATGTGTCTCACGTACCATCAATGTGACGTGAAATTAGTCAACAAGATAAAAATTTTAATTATTAACAAAGAAAGATTGCAGATCTAAATCGAAAACTTTTACCCTATAATTCAAAATAGTTTATATCCAATTAACCTAAAAGAAAAAAATGTAGGCGGTAAGAGTAATAGTAAGCCACGTAAGTTTCTATTTATAGTAAGTATGTCTTTTTTGGGAAGTTGAGATATGGTAAATTTAAAGGGAACCAGCAAAACCGAGGGCCTCTTGTACCATTCGAATCTGGGAAGCCCGGTGATCCGTATCCGACCCGAAAACTATTTCATCCGGGTCGTAGAAACTGTGATGCATGTGGTCTCCCCATGTATCCTCCCAGGTAACAAATGACTGGTCGTAAAGATCAGCAATGCGTTGATTAAGCTCTCGAATATCAGCACTCCTCGAGGTTGATGTCGGACAATTTGTCATCCGGGAATGACTTTGTGGTGGAGCAAGACACGTGCGATATTTGTGGAGGTGAGAAATGGGTTTTCGTGTAAGGATGCTGTGGAAGACTTGAGGTTGGGACGTGCTGGATAGTAGCATCCTGTTAGTCATGGGCATAGGTCACTGGCTTGCTTTTTTGGGTTTCTCAAAAAGATGAAGAATGCCTATGAGAGGGATCATTGGCTTTGCTGAAATCTTTAATTTTTAAATCTCATAATAATTTTAGATGAAGATCATTGGCTTTGCATATGGGATCATTTGCTTTGCTGGAATATTTAATTTTTAAGTCTTAATTTTAGATGAGATCGTTTGCTTTGCTGGAATCTTTATTTTTTAAGTCTTGTAATAGTTTTAGACGAGATCATTTGCTTTGCTAGAATATTTAATTTTCAAGTCCTATAATAATTATACATGAGATCATTTGCTTTGTTGAAATCTTTAATTTTTAAGTCTCATAATAATTTTAGATGAAGATCATTGGCTTTGTAGATGAAATCATTTGCTTTGCTGGAATCTTTAATTTTCAAGTCTGATAATAATTTTAGATGAGATCATTATGTTATCACAGTCATAAACAACTATAATACGTGTAACATATTAAAATTCAAATGTTTTAAAAACAGTATAAATTAAATAATATAATTATTTTATTATGATAAAACTACTAAGAAAAATAAAAACATTAATTTCTTAAAAGACACTAACCGTTATAGACACTACAATATTAGGGATGGCAATTTTATCCATGTACCGAACATATGTATCATCCAATCCAATTCAATCAGATTTTTATCCGATTTGATCAGAGTTAAAAGTACTTTGGATGCTTCATCACTAGACTCAGTATTTAGTAATGTAATTGAGAAGTAGGCCTGTGCAACTCGACCACATGTTTTTTAAAATAAAAATAAATAAACAATAAACAACGCGTTGCTCGTGACATTGTAATAGATGAACTATTGTCCATCTGCTGCAACTTTCGATGAATTTGAGTTCACTTTGTTGAAAAACTAAAATTTTCAATTTTTGCCCCTTAAAACCCACACTATAAAAAATCCAACATATAGCGACGATTTTTCAATCTCTATATATCAAAGATCCATTGCTATATAACCTTAGTGATAGATTAGAGACAGTTTTAATTCTGTTGCTAATGTGGTGATCATTATTTCCTTAACGGTCAATTTTTTTTTGTCCCCGATTAGCTATTGACAATTCATTTCTATTTTATTGAATTTTTGTTACTAAATCGATCTAAAACGAGTCATTTGTCCGGTCTCACATTCGTTGTCATATCATCGCTATTTTCACTTATATCCGTCACTAAATAGCAATGGAATGACTCGTTGCTAAATAATAATCATAAAAATACTTATAATTTTGTCGCTAAATTCGTTGCTATTTAGCAGCTCGTATATGTATCCGTCACTAAATGTCCTCACAATTCCATCACTAAATCCATCGCTAAATGAATGAATTTTTATTTATTTTTTAAACCAATAGTCGTATATTGTTAATTGTAATAACATACAACTATAAACACCTTATTAAAACATGATATATTATTTAATAAAATTAAAATAAAATAAATATATCAATGTTTTAAGGTGTACAAAAACATTAAAAACTTTTAAAACAAATCAAGAAATCTAGCTCTCATTAGCATCATTTCCTACATCATATTTACATTATCGGGTGTTAAGTGAAACGATCTGTCTCCGGGTTATGGAAGGGTTAGGTTGGAGAGGGATGTTAGTTTGCTTGAGGTTATGTAACAACCCTATCACTCTCTACAACCGAGTTCATATACTACTAACTTGGCTGGTCCGTTGCTTGGTTGGTAGCCTTCATCCTCTTAATCCTATTTCGTACTAGACAAAAACTTCCCGGATATTACCATCGGGATACCGTAAAGTGACGAGAGGAGGAGCTAGCATCGGAATGTAAGTAACACCGAGACGCATAAGTTCCGATGTCATACACTCTTTGCTTCTTCTTCCTTTTGACAACATCTAAATATATCTTGGACATATTGATATCTAGAGATGATGAATCACTTTCATGTCGCTCCTTACTAGGTGCTTCTTGCATTGACTACAAGTGCTCCTATGTCATAAAAATAATTACAATATTAAATCATAAATATATATTTTAAATTATATTGATAGATGTATATATATTTTTAAAAAATATAAAACCTTATCATTACTTTTTACGATCGTCTATCGATGAATGTCCTATCCTTCTACTTGTGAGTGATCATGAATAGCTCATAGGGATTTGGGTGACGATCCAATTTAATTTGTTGAAAAAAATAAACAAAATAAATGCAAAAATTTATTTATAACATGATGGGTAATATAGGATTTATCAAACACTCAACGTGTTCGATAAAAAAGATGGATCTTCCAGGTATGCTTGGATGAGCTAACATCGACATCACCCTTCTCCAACATATGGTTCGAGAGATGCCTGCCGAGAACACGACGCCATACTTCCCATACCTCCCGGTTAACAAACACAAGTCTATTACTCTTATCCTTTAGCTTGTTAAGCATGTCATTGTATCGCCTCCATGCCAAATTCTACGATGCATCCTTAATCGGTGCGTCGATGACCACAATTCATAAAAAATACTTTTATATGAGAAAAAAATAATATTAGTATTTTTCATATTAAATTAACACTTTAAATAAAATATAATCAATAATTAATATGTTATCATAAACTCATTAAAGTAGAAGTCTTTTGTCTCTAAGGAGACAAACTTCCATATGAAGCTAACAATGTCCATTCGCTCATTAAAATTACAATGATTTTTATGGAGCAATTGCTTAATGGAATTGTCGAATAAAATAAATAAATAATAAATAAGTTAATCAATGATTCCAATATAATATATGAAAATATAAAACTAATTATCACATATAAAATGTATTAGTTACCAATTATTCATGACCCAAATGATCCATCCATTATCGGATCTAGTAGAACTTCTTTGAGTTGATGAAACCATAGTGGAATCATCCATAGCAGAGGGCATTATCAATAGGGCTATAAGCGGCAAGAGCACTACTCGGATGGGATGCAAATGTGCTGACACCGCTATCAAGTGTACGACTATAGATAGTTGCACTAGCAGCATCATGGCCACGCACACCATCATTATCATTCACACGATCAACACCAAAGCCACGACCACCGACAACACGACTAGATCTACCTAATTCATGAGACATAACTCAAGAATAACACCTAAAACAGTTTAATAAATGAATAACAATTCAACTAAAAAATATTTATAAATTATTATGAATTAAAAAAAATAAAAATCTATAAATTTGATATTTCTTTGTTACTCGAAAATGCAATCGGCATAAAATTCAACACGTCTAAAATGCACAAAAAACATAAAAAATACATAATATATATATATTTATTTAATTAATATTTTTTTAAACATCTAATAAAATTTTGACGAGTCTCTCTTATAAATTTCACCTTTCCCAATTAACAAATACTCTAAATGATCACACAAACAATAAATTAAATCAACTAACAATCAATTTGCTCACATCAAGATCGACAATTATTTCGGATACTCCATTGAAGTTAAATCACAAACTCTTTCTTCCAGCTCCATCTCAAAGTATTGAACCAACCTTATTTTACAGAGTCTACGGTCCTTCGGGTTCGATACACCATGACGTATCTTAGTACACTTTAATAATTACATACGGAATAATTAAACTTATTAATTCTAATTCTAACTTAATTAAGTTTAAAATAACAATAAATTAATAATTTTTAATATATATATAAAATTATAATTCAACCAATTAATTAAACATAATCAACCTAATTAATCAATTAAATATAAATCAAATTAACTTATTTAATTCTAATCCTTACCAAATTAAGTTTAAAATAACAATAAATTAAGAAGCTTTAATACAAATAAAATTTTAATTCAACCAATCAAACATAATTAATTAAATATAAATTAAATTAACTTAATTAATTCTAACCAAATTAAATTTAAAATAAAAACAAATTAACAATTTTAATATAAATAAAATTTTAATTCAATCAATTAAACATGATTAACCTAATTACTTAATTAAATATAAATGAAATTAACTTAATTAATTCTAATTCTAACCAAATTAAATTTAAAATAGCAATAAATTAACAAGTATTAATATAAATAAATTTTTAATCAAACCAATTAAACATGATTAACCTAATTAATTATTTGATTAAAACTAAATCAAATTAACTTAATCAATTCTAATTCTAACCAAATTAAATTTAAAATAACAATTAATTAACAATTTCTTATATAAATAAAATTATAATTCAACTAATAAAAAACATTTAACCTAATTAACCTAATTAAATATAAATGAAATTAACTTAATTAATTATAATTCTAACCAAATTAAATTTAAAATAACAATTAAATTAGCTTAATTAAGATAAATTAAACAATTAATCAACAAAATTATAATTAATGAACAAATTTATTCCAATTCAACCCAATTAAGCATAATTAGCATAATTAATTAATTAAACATGAAAAAAATTAACTTAATTAATTAAAAATAAATTTTGATTCAATTTAAATTATAATTAATGAACAGATTGACCTACAATTAACAAAAATTTACAATTTAAAAAATAAATAAAAAAATAACAATTAGAAATATACATAATTATAAATCAAGTAATTAAACATAAAATTAACCTAATAATTATAAAAAATTACCAACTTTAATTAAGAAAATAAAAGGGAGAAAAAACTTATCTAATTCGGGTGGAATTAAACCAAGAGTAAGGAAGAAAAAATGATTTATTTTTTTTTTTTAGAGAAATGACCTTGAAGTGGGTGTGAATTGATTGAGAGTGGAGGAGTGAAGTTTGGGGGTGGTTTGGAAGGAGGGGAGTCCGATTCGCGGTGGCTAGAAAAGGAGAGGGAGAAGAAAATGGGAGGGAGGAAGAAGAAGACGGCTTAATTGGGGATTGAAAAATAACAAGCGACGCGATCACCTCGCCGATCCATTATTATTAAGCAATGGACGTAAGTGTACGTCACTAAT